CTCTCCGGGGGAGATGTTTTTTGAAACACCCTGTATATTTGATATGTTAATATATGATTTTAATTTCCAACGTAAAATACCTCGGCTATTTTGGACTTATTTGAAAAACGGTAAAAAGGAAACATGTTTCTTTTATCGAGACCTACCAGTCCTGAAAATATGCGCACTTAATTAAGACTCGACCTATACAATTATTTTTAACTCAAAATTAGAGGAAATTTTTTCAGATTTGGCATCACTGTGTCGAAATTAAACCACGCTACACTTCCTTATGAGAGACTATCTCATATAACTATCTCTTTCTAACACATTGGCCTCCAGTCATTGCGGCCTGTAAGAGTACGTGGAAAATTCGCAAAGGCGCAACTTTTAATGTCCCATTAGAGACAATATAAAGTAAACAATCTGATTTAGCGAAGATCATATGGAACGCCTTTATTTTTATTTTTTGCGAATACTGAATTATTATATGAAAAATCATATTAAAAAAAAGATTTTATGACTTTTTGTCTGGGGGAACAACGCCAGTTTCAGTTTTTTTGACTAAATTTTATGCACGCCACTGTAATTATAAAATATTATGTCATTAATCGACATTGCTTTTTTATCCTACAGTATATCATAAAGTATTTAAAACAGTATCTATACTATACAGGGTGGCGCACCTCATTCGCCTCGATTGATTATACGAAAACGGCAAGATGTAGAAACAAAATATTTTATGGGTATATGTGGGGAGACAAGGTGCACAATTTAAAATTATTTTGAAATACACAGAGTGTTTCAGAACTAAGATCCATACCAAAGTTATTTTTTTTTTCATTTTTGTATTCTTGGGCCCAAAAAAAGGCCTTTATTATAAGGATTAAATATGTTTAAAATTTTTAGTTTTTCAGATATTTAAATTTGCATGCTACAATAGAATAGACTATTAACACCCTGTACATTACTTTTGAGAATTAATTCTAATGCTGAGTTTAAAGGTAGAGAAATAAACCTTACTGAAAAATGGTACTGATTCCTTAAATTTATACAGGGTTATCAAAAGTTGCTGATCTATTTTAAGGATATATTTTATATAAAAACTTCATTATTTCAAATGCAACACCCTGTATTTTTTTAAATAAATCGAAGCAGATTTAAATGCTCTTTCAAACAATATTAGGGTTTCCTATACCTATCTAGCTCAGATTTCGAATAAATAGCGATTTTTAAATAAAATTGCAATCAAGATGGCTGATGTCGCAATGGCAATTTTCTAGTGACGGTTAGTAACTATTTCAAAAGTCGACATTAGTTTATGGGCATTATTATTTATAATTTATAACAGTTTACTTAAATTTACCTATAATAGTTTAATAAGTAAGTATTCGTTATTTTATCAAGAAAAATAAAGCAGTATCTGCTGGCGGAACGAATAGATATGTAACTAGTGATATTATTTTGTGAGAAAAATTGCTTCTTGTGCTCCAGGGCTTATGCTCAAAGATATCCAAATAGGAATCTTCCTGATAAGCGTTTCTTTGAAAAACTTCTTGTCCTATTTCGCAGAGCTAGTAGTGTGGTTTATAAAAAACCTATTAGGCAGAAACCTGTCGTTGGAAATGAATAAAATGTATTTGCCATAAATGGCTATTTTATAGAAAATCCATATATCTACAAGTCATCCTAAAATAATTCAAAGAACTACTTCTTCGTTTTTTTTTTGATAGAATAATATACACATATTTAATAAATATTATGTATTAAACTATTGTAGGTAAAGTAAATAAAAGTAAATTGGTATAAATTTAAATAAATCCATAAACTAATTTCGATTTTGAAAATAGCTACTAACTGTCACTAGAAACTTGCCCTGACAACACTAGCCATCTTGATTACAATTTTACTGAAAAATCGCTTTTTATTCAAAATCTGAGCCAGATAGGTATAGGAAACCCTAATATAGTTTGAAAGAGCATTTAAATATGCTTCGACTTATTTAAAAAAATACATAGTGTCGCATTTTATAAATAACGAAGTTTTTATGTAAAATAAATATTTAAAATAGACCAGCAATTTTTGATACCCCTGTATACATTTAAGGAAGGAATAACATTTTTCTGTAAAGTTGATTTCTCTACCTTTAAACTCAGCACAAGAACTAATTCTGAAAAGTAATGTACAGAGTGTTAATAATCTATTCTACTGTAGCATGCAAATTTAAATATCTCAAAAACCAAAGATTTTAAACATATTTAACCCTTATAATAAATACCTTTTTTTTGGGCCCAAGAATCCAAAAATGAAATAAAATACCGGGTGTTCCATAAGAAAAAATATATCTTTGGTATGGATCTTAGTTCTGAAACATCCTGTACATTTCAAAATAATTTTAAATTGTGCACATTACCTCCCCACATATACCCATAAAATATTTTGTTTGTACATCTTTTCGTTTTCGTATAATCAACCGATGCGAATGAGGTGCACCACCCTGTATATATGCTACGGCTAAAATGGATACTTGGCTTGTTTTCAAATTGGCAAGCTATTTTGCAAAAAATCAGTGTGGATTAGGTGTTAGTTTGTGGTGGTGGTTGTGAGGTATGTTTGCAAAATAGCGGGCTAGTTTGAAAATTAGCCAAGCATCCATTTTAGCCGGAACATATACAAAGACTCGATTACTGAACATCCGAAAGCCAGATTCCTTTGGACATATTGAAAAAATAATAATTATTATAGGAAGATCTATTATTTTGTAATATCACTCTAATAAATAGTTTCTACTTTAACATACAAAAATTTATTCCAAATTAATCATATAAAATCCAATTAGATGCCACGTTCGATACGTTGGATTCAATTTGTTTGTACTAAAATGTGTTCATACAAAAGCTTACAAATTCATATGAAGGCGTCAGAAGAAAACAAAAGCTTACTTTGACATGTATGTACAGGGTGTCCCATTTTGGTTGAAATCATACGGTATCTCCGTTATTAGTGAAGATAGAAGGGTGCGCTTTGCTCAAACGTGTCTCACTTTTTTGTCAAACGGAAGATGCCGTAAACAAAATTTTCATAGCCCTCTTCGTTTCCGAGCTACAGGGTCATTTTGAAAGTTTTGCAATTTGGGACACCCCCTGTATCTCTGTTATTGTTAAAGCTATCGAGAAGGTGAAAACCGTTTATTCTAGAACTGTTTACGTAGAATAGAGTGGTGTAGTCTGGTTTTCTACCAAAAAAATATTTTTGAAAATATGAACTAAAGTTATGTTTTTTTTTTAAATGGAACACCCTGTATATTTATAAATCGTATGATCTCTCTTGCCATAAGCTTCTCAAAAATATATATCACTCTATATTTTTTTTCACTATTTACTGCAATATTTAAAAGTTTTTAATAAGAGATCATATTTATTAGTAGGCCATGATTGATAATAAAAGAAACTAAAGAATTATTAAAAGTATACTGCTATCTGTCTCTTGTTTTATTTTGGGAGCCGCTAATAAATTCTCTATATATTAGGGAAACTTAACCCCCTACCGCTATTTGTAAATCTTGGAATACGTGTATACGTACGAATAATCTATCGTATCGGAAATTTTAGATATTCCTTTAGCTAATTTACGTGAAATATACTTTCAGCAAGATGAGGAACATTCCCCCTCGTAACTATGAAAATATTAGAATACTGTTAAATTATTATTTTTCAAATCAATAAATTGGAACCAATGAACACATATTGATAGCCTCCTCGATTCCCGGATTTCGCCGTTCTCGATTTCTGATTTTGGGGATTTTTGAAATACGAAATATATCGTGGCCACTACAACCTACAACAATGTCGAACACCTGAAAATGCTTTAATAATTCAAGCTTTTAGATATTTGCAAACCCATTCCGTTATAAATAAAAAGAAAGATATATTCACAGTTTCAGTGGTAACAGTTATTTCAAAAGTAAAATATATCAATCCCAAATTAACTTTAATATGTGTATGACTATTTTAGTAAATACCATTTTGATTTTTTGTTGTTTATCACGGCCTACTAATAAGAAAATGATATATTTTAAATATTGCAGTAAATAGTAAAAATAAATATAGAGTGATATATATTTTTGAGAAGCTCATAGCAAGACAGATCATATGATTTATAAATATACAGGGTGTTCCATTTGAAAAAACATAACTTTAGTTCATATTTTCAAAAATATTTTTTTGGTAGAAAAACAGACTACGCCACTGTATTCCACGTAAAAAGTTCTACAATAAGCAGTTTTCGCCTTCTCGATACCTTTAACAATAACAGAGATACAGGGGGTGTCCCAAATTGCAAAATTTTCGAAAAGACCTTGTAGCTCAGAAACTAAGAGGGCTATGAAAATTTTGTTTGCAGCATCTTCCGTTTGACGAAAAAGTGGGACAGGTTTGTGCAAACCGTATGCTTCTATCTTCACTAATAACGGAGATACCCTATGATTTCAACCAAAATGGGACACACTGTACAGGGACATATCATCATAATAATATTATGTCATTAAAATCTGCATTCGCAGTTGTTTCTCAGCTTCAATCTACTGAGCTGTTCATTGAGGAGACAGTGTCCTGTTAGAAACCTCGTGACAATCCGACTTCTTCTTACATAAATCAAGGAAAAACTTTGATTTTTCTCGAATCGACATTGTTATGAGTAATATCAATTTTTGTTTTCAATTCTCCTTTTAACATTCATATATTCTACACAAAATATAATCCCCAACTAATGAGTTGATGATTATTTTTAATGAGCAAATGTGCTAATACTTCTTTAAATAAAAAATATTGACAGCCTTCATGCTCCATTACGAATGTGAAGTTTCAATTCGATAATTTGGTAAAAAACGCGTCCAGTGTTACCACACTGGCCTTATAAATTTATAAGAGTAGATTCGTATGATTTTGTACGAACACTTTTTTGTACTAATTCGCATTCAATGAATCAGCTGCATAAAGTAACTAATATTTTATAATTTTTAGGAGAATTTTCCGTGCTAGAAGTTTCATTTAATTTACAGCGTCATACTGGATACTTTTTAATTCAGATCTACGTTCCATGCATTCTTATCGTCGTACTTTCTTGGGTATCATTTTGGATACACAGAGAGGCTACCAGCGACAGAGTTGGCTTAGGTACAATAACACGATTTGTATTATAATTGTGTTATATACATTTTTATTATTGTTACTACGTGTGTCTTGATCCAATGTTATACAGAGTGCTACAAATTCGAGGTACGAGCATTGGTATCTCGGATACCCTAATAGATACAAAGATGGTTAAATTGGGTCAAACTTGCGCCTTTGGGATATTTACCAAGATGCCATCAAAAAAGTTTTGAAAATTTCAAGGATTGCTGAGATTTTTGGAAAGAAACGGATTTTTTGAAAATCAATTTTATTTTTTCCTTACGTTACTTTTTAGAAAATCAAAAAACTAATTGCACATTCTCATAGCTACTTTATTAGGGCTGTCTGATAGTATTTTTAGATTTTCAAATTAGCTGATAATTTGTGAGATACAGAGGCCAACTTAATTTTTTTAAATACGGACCTGCATTTTTTATTTCAGTTTTTGAAAGAACTCGCTCTCCTGAGTACAATGATATGCCACACTTTTTTTGTTTTTGGTACTTTAACAACAACAAAACTATTTAATTATTATTTAAAATAATTTGAAGTCCTAATCTGGTTCTTTTTAAATTATTTAATCTGATTATATTCATCGCAACAATATTGATCGGCGCTAATTAACATTGAATAAGAAAAATAGAGCCAATTGAAAGATTCAAATAAATAATAACCAGGTCAGCAATTTAAAGATCTTATTTTCAACTTTTTTTTATTATGAATTTGAAATTTTATTGTACGATCCAATAATATGCATTATTATACAGGGTTGTTCACCACATACGACACGGAGTATTGTAGCTAAGCAATTATATTTTTACAAATTGTAAGTTTTGGCTTCGTTAAAGGACTATTAGAGCTACAATTTAAAAATATTTTTACAAGATACAGAGTGTCCCTAATAAATAAAAAACATCAAAGTTGTATTTTTTAAATGGAACACCCTGTATATTATTACATTTTTAGTTTCTACGATTAAAATAAAGGTAAATTTGATTAAGGTTTACCGCACTTTAATCTTTAGGCTTTATTTCTCCAAGGGTATCAAAGTTTTTAATACTAAATATTTACTGAAGTTTATTTATTGATCAGTTATTGTGCTGCAATAATAAAAATTATACTACCTTATACAGAGTGTCTAAAATATTATTTTAAATAATTACTAGCTTTAAACGGCAATAACTTGTTTAATTTAAATGGAACACCCTGTATATTTTATGAGAATCAGATGCACAATTTAATTGTCTATCAAATTGTATTACACCATTTTTTACCTATCTCTTTAAGTTTCCGTAGAAAATGTATTTTTTTGTAATTTAGAACTTATTTATCAATATACCCATGGAATACTGACATTTTAAATTATTTTTAAAGATGTACGAATTTTTTAAAGAGTACAGATACTAATATTGTCGATTGATACTAATATTGTCGAAGAGGACCAATTAATATGATTCCAGTATTCAAACTACATTAACTGACTGTTTGCGTTGATTAATAATAATTGCCCCAAATACTAAAAAGCAGAGTTTTGTATGTGTATTAGGCAGTGTGGTAAAAAGTAACACCTTAAAAATGATATTTCATTTTTTAATAAATGCTTATTTATAACAACAGAGACGTTCATTTTCATAACTTATTATTATATTGATTTCTGATTCAAATACACATTTATTTAGAATAATTTATTAACGAACACAATTAAGTATGTAATTAATTAGTATTTGGGCGGAAATAATGGTGTTGTATTTAACTAATGGTATACTCTTTTATAGAGATTTAAATAGTTTTCTTTTTGCATACAAATGGGCTAGTAATATTATCGTTTTGCTAAAAACGATAATATTACCAGCCTGTACATTTTGTACATTTGTTGCTTTAAAAACAATCTAAAACGTCAATATTCCATGGGTATATTGATAAATGATTCTAAATTATAAAAAAAATGCATTTTCTACGGAAACTTGAAGGAATAGGTAAAAAATGGTGTAATACAATTTGATAGACAATTAAATTGTGCATCTGATTATCCTAAAATATACAGGGCATTCCATTTAAATTAAAGAAGTTATTGGCGTTTAAAGCTAGAAATTATTTAAAATAATTTTTTAGACACTCTGTATGAGGTAGTATTATTTTTATTATTGCAACACAATAACTGATCAATAAATAAACTTCAGTAAATATTTAGTATTAAAAACTTTGATACCCTTGGAGAAATGAAACCTTAAAATTTTTACTGCAATTTCACAAAATTGAAAATAATTCAAAAACGGTAAAGTTTAAATGTAATAAACCTTAATCAAATTTACCTTTATATTAATCGTGGAAACTAAAAATGTAATAATATACAGGGTGTTCCATTTAAACAAATACAACATTTTTTGGTGTTCCATTTAAAAAAATACAACGAATTTTTTTATTCATTTGGGATACTCTGTATCTTGTAAAAATATTTTTAAATTGTAGCTCTAATAGTCCTTCAACGAACCCAAAACTTACAATTTGTGAAAATCTAATCGTTTAGCTACAATACTCCGTGTCGTATGTGGTGAACAACCCTGTATATTAATCGTAGTCTCTGATCAACTTCTACAAACTAGTTTGTAATGCTCTACATGTTCGAAAGGGTTACTACCCTACCTATTGCACAAATTTATTATTCACAGGAGACCGAGTCCTTTCAAAAACTAAAATAAAAAATTAAGTCGGCCCCTGTATCTCACAAATTATCATCTAATTTGAAAATCTAAAAATACTATAAGATAGCCCTAATAAAGTGGCTATGAGAATTTGCAATTAGTTTTTTGATTTTCTAAAAAGTAATACAGGAAAAAATAAAATTTATTTTCAAAAAAATCCGTTTTTTCCAAAAAACTCAGCAATCCTTGACATTTTTAAAACTTTTTTGATGGCATCTTGATGAACATCCCAAAGCGCAACTTTGCGTCAATTTAACCATGTATCTTTTACAGTTACCGAGATATCAATGCTCATACCTCGAATTTGTAGCACCCTGTATAGATACATAGGAAAGTCCATGTTAATTTTATGATAAATAAAAGGTTTATATTAGAAACATTTCTAAATATAAAAAGTGACAATCACAACTACTTACATTGCAATTGTTATTGCTTATGCTTATGGTAAACTGTATTGAAAATGGTTAGAAGTTATATCAGTTGAAATGTGATTTAACGGTTCCTTACTCGATACTGGATGTACCATTTCCTTAAAACGCTATAATAATAAACATAATAACAAAATACTAGTATATATATTATTGCTTAACGTTTAAAGTATTTGTCACGTTTGTTGCACTACAAATGTACAAAGGCGTAGCTTGCTGATGGACCGGAGGAAATTGGAGAAATTCCTCTATATGTTTACTCCAATTAAATAGTTAGGTAAAAAAATATTAAATAAATAAAATAAAAATAGAAAATAAATTCAGTAGCAGTATCTTCGGGAACTTTGTATAAATTTCTCGGCCACTTGGACTTTAAAGTAATTTTCACCTATACTCCAAAGTGTTTCTTAACGAGGTAGAATAGCTAGCAATAGCTTGGCGGTAGACACTTGTATCCGTAGAGAGAGCTTATAAAACATCATTTTTTAATACTTAATTAAATTAATTATATCATTTTTATTATTACTACAACCACAATTTCTCTTGATGAATGATAATAAAAGATTAAAATAATATTACTCCCAAATTTTGAAGTATAATTATTAGTCGCAAAAGTTAAAGGTTTGTTAACTTTTTTCACTAAATGAAAATTATAGACTAATTTTGACGTTCTGAATGCTTACATTGAAATCAAAGGAACACATTTCTTTGTTAGAAACCACTAATTTACTCCACTAATTTAAAGATTGTGAATGAAGCTAAAGTTAAAACTTTTTCTACTAATTGAAAATTACTACAACTAATTTCGACGTTCTCAATGGTTACGGCATTGAAATTATAGAATAAACTTCTACGCTAATTGAAACCACTAATTTATTCCACTAATTTCGAGGTTCTGAATGAAGCTAAAGCTAAAGTTAAAACTTTTTCTACCAATTGAAAATTACTACAACTAATTTCGACGTTCTGAATGCGGTTACATTGAAATTATAGGAACAAACTTCTACGCTAATTGAAACCACTAATTTCGAGATTCTGATTGAAGCTTTTTAAATGCTATAATAAAGCCATTATCAGTACAAACTAGATTTTAATTTTTATCTCAAATACCTACCTACTACTATAATATATCCCTTTTTTAGGTATTACTACGGTTCTAACTCTCTCTACAATAAGTCTCGATTCGAGAACAGATCTTCCCAAAGTTCGTTACGCAACAGCCCTCGATTGGTTCCTGCTTATGAGTTTTTTTTATTGTATTGCTACATTACTGGAATTTGCCGGAGTACATTATTTTACAAAGGTATATAAATTATACATATTTTATTAAACTGTGACTACAATTATCTGTGTCAATTGTCGCATAAAAATCTTATCCACAATTTAATTTAACTACAAAACGTTCAAGTATTTTTGTTTAAAATTATCGAATCAGTAATTTTATAATATGTAAGTACATAAATTTAGTAATAACACGTAATAATTAAATAGAAACTTTATAAGTAGGTTTATTATACAGGGTTGTTCACCACATACGACACGGAGTATTGTAGCTAAACGATTAGATTTTTACAAATTGTAAGTTTTAGGTTCGTTGAAGCACTATTAGAGCTACAATTTAAAAATGAGAGTGTCCCAAATAGGTAAAAAATATTATAGTTGTATTTTTTTTAAATGGAACACCCTGTATATTATTCTATTTTTGGATTCTACGATTGAAATAAAGGTCAATTTGATTAAGGTTTATCAAACTTAAACTTTACCGTTTTTGAAATATTTTCAATTTTATGAAATTGCAGTAAAGTTTTTAAGGCTTCATTTCTCCAAGGGTATCAAAGTTTTTAGTACTAAATATTTATTGAAGATCATTCATTGATCAGATATTGTGTTGCAATAATAAAAATTTTACTACCTTATACAGAGTGTCCAAAAATTTATATTAAATCATTACTAGCTTTAATGATTACTAGCTTAAATGGAACACCCTATATATTTTACTTGAATCAGATGCACAATGTAATTGTCTATTAAATTGTATTATACCATTTTTTACCCGTCTCTTCAAGTTTTCGTAGAAACTACATTTTTTTGTAATTTAGACCTCATTTATCACTATACCCATGGAATATTGATATTTTAGCTTATTTTTAAAGATGTAACAAATTTTCAAAGGGTACAGATACTAATAATGTTGATATAGTTCGCTTATTTAATTAAAAAATAAAAAAAAAACTGTTTAAATATTTTTTGTTACGTTGATTAATAATAATTGCCCCAAATACTAAAAGCAGAGTTTTGTGGCAATATTGTATTAGGCAGTGTGTGGTAAAAGTTACACCTTATAAATTTTATTTCATTTTTTGGCGAATGCTTATTTATAAAAACAGAGACGTTCATTTTCATAACTTATTAATATATTGATTTCTGAGCCAAATCCACATTTATTTAGAATACTTTATTAATTAAAACAATTTAAAAGTATGTAATTAACTAATTTTTGGTGTTTTTGGTCGGAAATAATGGTGGTATATTTAATTGGTATACACTTTTGCAAAGAAAATTAAATCGTTTTTTTTGTACGTCATTGGGCTTGCAATATTTACCACTTGTGCATTTTGTACATATATGGTGCTATAAAAAAATCTGAAATGTCAATATTCCATAGGTATAGTGATAAATGAGGTCTAAATTATAAGAAAATGCATTTTCTACGAAAACTTGAAGAGATCGGTAAAAAAGGGTATAATACAATTTGATAGACAATTACATTGTGCATCTGATTCACGTAAAATATATAGGGTGTTCCATTTAAATTTAACAAGTCATTGCCGTTTAAAGCTAGTAATTATTTAATATAAATTTTTGGACACTCTGTATAAGGTAGTAAAATTTTTATTATTGCAAATTGAAAATATTTGAAAAACGGTAAGGTTTAAGTAATTTAATCAATTAATTCCTTAATCAATTTTACCTTTATTTCAATCGTAGAATCCAAAAATAGAAGAACATACAGGGTGTTCTATTTAAAAAAATAAAACTATAATATTTTTTACTTATTATTATTAGAGTGTCCCAAACTCTGTATCTTGTAAAAATATTTTTAAATCGTAACTCTAATAGTCCTTCAACGAAGTCAAAACTTACAATTTGTAAAAATCTAATCGTTTAGCTACAATACTCCGTGTCGTATGTGGTGCACAACCCTGTATATTTCTTCTATTCGCGATGCTTCAAAATCGTCAGGTTTGAGAGTAAGAACATAATGGAGTATTTCACCATCACGGCGAGGTGTTCACATCGCCGCACCTTGGTGACGATACTTAATACCGTGCTAGCAACTCTTACTTTCGGGTCGGTATTTACATGTGTGGAAGTGAATCGCTCAGGGATCTTATTAAGTCGGAGTGAGAAAAATTCTATGTTGTGCTGTTGCAGCGTTGTCACATTTCTCAGTGATACAGGTACGTCTTTTTCTGTCTAGTATAGTAAAATCACGGTCAAAAGGCGCTAGTTTGAACTCAACTTCTTAACACATAACACCCATTATCTCAAAAAACTACTTGGGATATTGAAACTTTCTTTTTTTTATTTTGAAGTTCGGATCGTTGACAAGATGTTTAAATGAGAACAACTCGACAGGTTTGTTTCTTTTCCGTTCAAAAATTTATTTATTAAAACTTCGCCCATTTACTTTTAATGCATAACAATTTTCAGCAACCGTTTAACTTTTTATTTGTAAAGATTTTCACATCCTGTCTCCGAAGAGAATATAGCAGAAACTTTAAGAAAATTTATTGGAAAAAACTACAATCAATTATTTCTAATGGATTTCGAAATATTGAATACCCTAGAATTCTAAGTATTGGATTTCAATTTATAAAACTTATTTTAATTTATCAATTTATGTGACGAAACTGCCTTATCTCCTTCCACATCTCTTAGCAATGCGCGCAGTTACTCGGTTTATTTCAGAAACAGCCTCTACACCATCCCGGAAATGTTTTACGAAAGATTTCTAATAACAATAAAAAAACAAACAACCCCGGCGGGTACCGATCTATTTCAGGAAACGTGGGAAACTCATTTTTATAACACAGGCTTATATTTATCGTACTATTTCCAGAAATGTTCTACGAAATGTTTTACTATTAATTTTTTGTAGATAATATTTTTTGTAATTAATATTTCCAGAAATATTTCGTAAAACCCTGAACTCATTTCTTTAACCCAGATTAACAACAACCAATCACGGCGCGTCTCGAAGTCTCGATCTATTTCAGAAAACGTGGGAACTAATTTTTATAACACGGACTTATATTTATCGTACTATTTTGTGAAATAGCACGAAGCAATCAATGTCAAACGTTATGGGGGCTTCAGAAAAATAAGTAAACATGGAAAAACTGATATGAAAACAATTATTTCTCGAAGGTTACACAAGAATATTTAGTTTTAATCATTGTCTAATATTATTAATTACAATATACTAGTAAAAGAAATAAAACAGTGACTAACTAGCGGTCTACCATTTATTGGCTTATAATCCACGGTATTGCGCTTCATGAACAAAATATACACAAAATTATTTACAAAATAAATTGTCTTTTTAAATTTATTATTTCTGTACAATAACATTGTCGACTTACTGTCGACAAAGACAATAACAATTATCGACTTTTAAACTACATTCCTAATTTAACTAACAAAATATCAAATAATCTCAATAAAATAGGATGTAAAACTATTAACGTAAATAAAAGGTCAAATTTTATTAAATAATAAAGACAAAACTAATGTCAAAAATAAGTCGGGTGTATATAGGGTGGATTGCAATGATTGTGATGCCGTGTACATAGGCCAAACAGGTAGAAATTTAGATATAAGGATTAAAGAACATGTAAAGTCTATTAATAATCTCCAGCATAGTTCTGGTCTTGCAACTCATTGTATAGTAAATAATCACAAAATTAATGAAAACTCAATTAAGTTACTACACAGAGAAACAAAAAGTAGACGCTTAAATTACATTGAACAGTTAGAAATACTAAAATCTGTTAAAAACGAAAATAATGTTAACGACCAACAAGGATTTCTAAACACATTTTTTATTACCCCTATTGTAAACTCTCTGAACCCACCCCCATAGCAAATATATATATATATATATATATATATATATATATATATATATATATATATATATATATATATATATATATAATATATATATATATATATATATATATATATATATATAGTTACAGTGTAGTAAGACGATTAGTTCTTAAAAACTCTTGAAAAGGGCCTAACAAGCCGAAACATATATGTAGAGTTAAAGTTACTCTTATTAAAAGTTTTTTGAAACATCTTAAAGCGTGCTTTATTAAAATACTAATATTATTTCTGGTTATGGTAAAGTGACATTATACTGTAATCTATAGCAAAGTTTAGTTTACGAATTTTGTTTTGTTTTCCTAGTTTTAATTGTCTAATATCCAACCAATATTTTAATATCCTAACCCAAGTAAATAATCAAAAATGCACTTTTTATATCAACAGCAGTAATGTTACTAAGGGTTCCAATTAATATCCAGAATTTAAAAAAAAACACGATTCTAATTCTTATTATTTTTCTAAATACGTATTGTCTGATAGGCAATTACAAAATATAAATCTGATGTAAATAGAAAAATATGATGTAAAAACAGGTAAAAACTCTTCGGTAAAAAAGGGTAAAACAACAACAAAAACTCTAACCAAAGATTTAACCGTCATACGAAAAGAGCATCACGTGATTGCACAATACCCAACGATAGGGTACGTACCTCTTACATCTGATTGGACGGTTGGTTGCGTATTTTAATGTATCCTAAACATATTGGGGCACATCGTGCACCTAGAAACATACAGGGTGGCCTATCGAAAACGTTCCGCAAGACATAACGGCTAGAATATTTTTTTTTTTCAAAAAATCCAAAAACACGTCAATTTTGTTTCTGAGGGGGACAACTTTTGCCCCAAAAATGATTGCAAAATCTTCAACCCTCTAAGCGGGGGTGTCATCCCCCAACTTTTTTCAAATGGGAAGGGGGGTCAAGTGGCGCCGCAATGAAAAGAGCTTTCTATTCTCTATATTTCCCCGCTTCGTTTTTGAAAATCGGTCGAGTCATTGAGAAAATATGAAGGATTGAAATTTGAAAAGTTTATTTAAACATTTATCAGAGTAAATGATAAGGATAAAATCCTTCGACCAATTTGCTGTTTTTTCTTACTATATCTAGATGTTTACGCATTTTTTCACTT